GAACAGCGCGGTGCTGCATGACCCGCCGGCCATCTTCGCGGCTCGAGTTCGAGCCATCGCCAGACGACCTGCGTTGAGCTACAACGACCGGCGCGCCACCCGAGCGGCCCTGGACGCGAGGCCGAGGCGCCACATCACGCACAAGCCAGGGAACATGGTGGCAGTCTGGAGGAAGGTGACGAAGGGTGGTGGAGGCGGTCTGCAGAACCGAGGGGCTCACTACAGATGGAGGCCAGGCGCGTGCATGGGCGCGGTGCGTGGCAACTACTGGATCGCGGTGCCGGGATGTGTTCTGAAGGCGTCGCCGGAGCAGTCGAGGATGGCCAACTCCGAGGTGCGCGCGGCGTGGCGGCTCGTCGAGGCTTCGCTGCGGTCGCACACCATCGACCTGGAATGCATGAAGGCGCAGCACTACCACGACATCACTGCCGAGGCGCGCTCTCCGGAGGAGGCTGAGGAGGAGACTGAGCAGCCTCAGGAGCCAACGAGGGAGGAGTCCTCTCCACGCCATGGAGGTCAGGCAGCTGGTCCAGGACCCGAACCGCGCGTCGTGCAGCAGCCCGTCGGCCCCCCTGAGGCGCCGTTCCCTGAGGATGATGCGGAGGACTTGCTGCAGGAGCCAGATGCTGAAGGAGAGGCCGAGGCCGGCGACCACGACGTCGGAGGACCTGGAGGACATGCAGAGGAGGCGGACAGCGTCAGACCTGGTAGGCGGCTCGCTGGGAAGACCTCCCTCGAGGAGGCGAAGCGCGCCCGCGTGCACAGGCAGGGCGTGAAGCGAGGCCCCTCCCCATCAGCTTCGGATCGGGTCAAGCAGCCGAAGATACAGTTGGCCTCGGCAGTGACGGCGGCCGAGGACAGCGAGGATGACGATGAGATTCTGGCAGTGGACGAAGAGGAGATCCCGCTGGCAAATCCTGCCGGCGCGGGGCCGCAAGGAGCTGAATCCGAAGTATCCGAAGTGGACGACCAAGATGGGGCTCGAGAAGTTCGCTAAGGGGCACGCCAGGGAGTACGACAAGCTGATCAACAAGACCAAGGCATGGCGCCCGCTACCGCTGGAGGAGTCGCGCCGGCTGCGATCGACAAAGCCGGAGCGCATCAGGAAGCCCCGGCCTGCGCTGACGGAGCGGGAGGACGAGGTCAAATGCCGCATGACCATCCAGGGCTTCAAGGACCCGGACCTGCTGGAGCTGGTGAGGGCTGTAGCACTCAGGCACCGACGCTGTCGCCCAACGGCCGGGCGCTCGCGCTGCAGACCATCGCCCCCGCGAAGTTCCCGATGGCCATCGGTGACGTGGAGGGTGCCTTCCTGGAGACGGATGCTTCTCTCGCCCCCGTCGAGCACGGGACGATCTACGTGTCCTTGCCGTCCGAGACCCTTCCTGACGGCACACATGAGGACCAGCTGTGCGAGGTATCAGCGGCTACGGGCGCAGTGATCAACCGCAGCTCTCGTGGCTGACATTTAGCAAGTACCTCACCGAGGAGCTGGGCTTCATGCAGTACCCTCTCGACCCGTGCGCCATGATGCTCTTCGAGGACATCGGAAAGACCGTGGACTTCCACGTGGGCGACTACCGCGTGATCGAGGGCTCGGGTCTGGAACCACGTCGCGAAGCACGCCCAGGCGACCTGCGTGGAGTCATCGGCCAGCACGTCGACGACGGGATCTTCGGAGGAAGAGGCGCACAGTGGGTTCAGGCCATCGCCAAGCTGAAGGCGAAGTTTCCATGCCAGAAGTGGAACGACCAGGAGGGCGAGTTTGTCGGCTCGAAGCTGCAGCAGCTCCCCGACTACACCATCGTGCAGTCTCAGCGCCCGCACGCCAATGAGGAGATGGAGCGGGCGCCGACGCGCCGGCACGCCGGCGCAGATGCCCTCGCCATACCGTCAGAGGTAAAAGACTTCACCTCTCTTAACCAGCGCGGGAATTGGCTGGCCAGACTCGCCCTGATCTCAGTATCCTCGTGAGTTCGAATCAACAGAAGACGCCGGATCCTACGGCAGGCGACCTTCGGAGAGGAAACACGTTGGCCCGACGGGCCCAGCAGTTCGCCGATCACGAAATTCGCTATCCATCGGCACCCATCGAAGAGCTCACTTTCGTTCTCCACTCGGACTACTCGTCGAAGAAGGCGTCTCACACGGGGCACACCCAAAAGGGCGACATCATCGGGGTCACGAATCGGGACATGGAGAAGGGCATGGCGGCGCCATGGAGTCCGATGATGTGGAGGAGTTATCGGGTGAAGAGGGTGGTGAAGACTACTCTGGCTGGGGAGTCTTCGGTCATGACGGACGGTCTCGGGCATTTGGAGTGGGCCATGCGTTTCTTCGCGATCGGTTTCTTCAGAGGCTTCTCTTGGAGACAAGTCTAGCTATCTCGGGAAGTTCCAGAGCCTGGCAGGGATCGACTGCAAGAGTATATACGACAGTGTGATCCAGATGGGAAGTCCATCTGGTGTCGATGGTAAGCGCTCTGCCGTGGAAATAGCTATCAGTAAAGAGAGCCCGAGAAGGATAGGTGCTACGTTGAGACGGGGCCGACGTCGCTCATGCTTGCAGATTGTCTCACAAAAGATAAAGCGGAACCCGCGGATCTTCTGAGAAGCTGCATCTGGAGTGCGCTCTACCAGTTGGCCGACGAGAGCAGCGTTCTGGCTAAAACCTCTGCCGAACGCTCTCTGCGGAAGCAACTCACAGCACGCAACCTGCCACCACCAGATGGTCAAGGTCGAGGCGAAGAACAATCCGCAGGGGGTCCAGAGCTTCATGGAGAGCATTGCCGAAGTGGCGGAGGGGACCATCGAGGGCTCCAGCAACCGCCTCAAGGTCCAGGTGCGCGCCGTCTGCCTGAGCGACCGTCTGACGGGCACGGAGGCCAAGGCTCAGGTGACCATGACGTACTACGCGAGCACGGGGAACACCACGATCCACACACCTGCGGCCATCGAACACCGTATCTTCGACCGTGTGAAGGTGTTGGAGAGCCTGCACCAAGTGGCGCTGGCCCAGGACCAGGCACTGCTGGCTCTGGAGACCGACTTCCACAACGGGATCGGGCACATCGGGCACTGTGTCTGCAAGAGCCTGGCGGATTTCCCGCTGTGGCGCGACAAGGTGATCCGCTACCTGGTGGAGGAGTGTGGTCTGCAAGCCGACATGCTCGACAACGACCACCCAGAGAACTGGCAGGACCTGTGCGACCGTGCTCCGAAGATCACGACCATCGAGAGCTCTGCCGATAACGACCATTCCATGGGCAGCTGGTACCAGCCGAATCTGTCACCTCCGTGTCGGGGCTCAGGACCATCCGTTCGCAGCCGCAGCCGTAGGGCCGATGACTGCTAGGCTAGGAGGAGGTCGAGAAGATGTCGCTCGAAGCCGTGACCTGAGGCAACATTTAAGTTTCGGGAGTGTTGATCCTATTGATCTTCACGTGTCTTTGCCTCTGCTCCGTTGCCGTTTTGGGCACAAGCTTGCTTGAGGATCGCGCCTGGGGGAGCGCGTGGGAAAACAAGCAAGCTTTCTCGAGAGAGGCCCAGCGGGCCTAGTCGGGGCCCAGAGGGCCCAGAGGT